GATCTCCAGGTGTACCGATATGGAAGGCTATGCTGGAAGTAGGTACTACGTATGGCCATGTTCTTAGAGGCGGCGAAATCGATGAGTCTAAGGCCGTTGGCGTTCGTTAGCTGGTGAGCGCTGAACTTTCCTATAACCGGTCTGAATTCCTCCTCCTGGCCGACCTGAGCGTTAAGATCTCCGATGACGATTTTGACGTCATGGCTTGGGCAGCTGTCGTAAAAAGCGTCTTTATCGTCATCGTCACTTGCTAAGTGAGGGCTGTGCACGTTGATTATGCTGACATTGAAGAAACGGCCTTTGATCCTCAATTTGCACATTCTGCTATCGATTGGCCACCACCCAATCACGGGCTTCTGCATTTCGCCCATCACGATGAAAGCAGTACCCAGCTCATGTGTATTGCCGCAGCTCTGGTAGATGGTATAACCATCCCTATACGTATGTACCGACGATCCCTTCCAGCAAACCTCCTGCAGCGCTACGATGTCGAACTTGAGGACCCTCAATAAATCGGAAGAAATGCGGGTACTTCCCAAAAAATTGAGAGACTTGCAGTTCCATGTTCCGAGTTTCCCATCATCCGTTCCGTTCCCGTTGCTTGGGTCTATGCCGATTTTTCCGGTCCGTATTTACATTGCTTGCTTCCTGTACTTTTGTTTTTTTACGGCTGGCTTGTAGGGCCTGCACCAACCCCCATTGTCTCGCCGGGGGACCATCGTGCACAGCACTGTTTAGAGTCTCACGATGGCACCAGGACCTTGATCAGCCGCTCCTAACATGGAGAACAAACGCCGTTTTGAGCCGCACCTCCATGGTGAACAGACGCTCGAAGACTGCACTCTACGGAGAGAGGAGTCCCCCCCCCCCTTCCCTGTCAGCATTCGACCAAGGTCCCACCGGGGTTGGTTACCCGATCTTCCCTATGGTTACTCGTACCCCAGCCGGCACCGCGGAGAGGTAGGGATTGGAGCTACTGGACAAGAGGCTAAGGACCGCTAGTGGGGTCTATTTTATACCTGTAGATACGCGAAGTATCAATGGTACGGATAAAATGGGTATTCAACGGAACTACCAACTCTATATTTCCATCTCCTCATCTATCGTTTAAAATGTCCAATTTAAGTCTGATATTGACGATAAGCATGTAAATCGTAAATTAACGTATGAAACAATAAAGGGTGTCTTAGAAAGTATAAGCACTGTTTATTATTGGATTAAAGCAACATTATGTAAATGAACTCAAGTTTGTATTTCATATATATATATTATCTATAGTATTCTTTTTCAATTTGATGAAATTAATCTGCAGTTCCTTTAATCGTACGCCACGGAGCGAATTTTTGATCTGACGCTGCCCATGAGCTTCAACACAGATTCCTTGGCGATAATTTTGGCCACTTTTTCAAATTATTCGATTGAATTCGCTGCTTTAAAGATACCCGTAGACACACCTTGGAAAGGTCCCAAAAGGTGTCGATTTACCGGGCCTCCGGACAATTCGAAGCATGCATCTCTTTTGGCACGTATTGCACATTGTTTTCTTTGTACCAAGCTACCGTGTCTTTAAAGTAGTGCATTGACACCAAATCGGACCAAAATAGTACAAAATGACGGATCATGGGCCGCAGATGCCGATCCAAACACTCCCGAACTTAAATTTCAGTGTTCATTGGCGTTGACGGCACCGTCGAAAAATCGTCTCTTCTAGCAAATATTGACAGTTTCTTCTGGCAATTTTCGATGGAGTGAAACGATAGTACGAAGTCCGCCATATTTCACGCACAGTCTTACGTTTGCTTATGGATTTTACCATAGTAGAGTAAAGAGCTATAGAGTCACCGTCAACGCCAATAGACATGGGTGTTCAATGGCCTCCAATGGCCTAAGGGGCCTCCCTTAGCTTAGTCGGTAAAGACGCAGCAACAAAGCAAGACCATGCTGGAGATGGCTGGGTTTGATTCCCGGTCCAGTCTAGGAATTTTTCGGGTTGGAAAATTTCTCGACTTCCCTGGGCATACACGGAAACAAATCCGATTCCATTTTCATGAATAAAAAATCATGAAATGAAGAAACTTGCCATCCCATGAAATCGTACACACTTAGAAATAACTACTTTTACACGAGACGTAATCCATATTGGACGTAAATCAAAGAACGTAAACAAACATTTCATGTAAAATTAATGTCGTTTTCGTTTTTGCGGTGTAGCAACACCGGTGCTACACTGCCGTACACCGAAATATTTTAGGGTGTAGATATAGGATGCACCTTTGTTTACAAACAAATGATGTTGAGCTGTCAAAGATTCGCACTTATTCCTGCTTACACTACACCAGTGCTACACCGCAAAAACGAAAACGACATAAGTGTTCTCAAACCGAAACATCAGCTTGTCGACGAAGAGAACGTATGATTGAATTGATTTTCACGTCTCTTTCAACTGATTCTTATGTCAAAAGGCCCGCTTACATGTGTCGGTCTCAGGGAACCGAAATTTACATGACTTTTTAATAGTGTGTAACAATGATTCATGATTTCATAATGCAGTGGAATCATGCCCGCTACATGCTTTACACGTACTTGGCAAACCGTGTTCATAAACCACACTACATTGGTATCTCTTGTACGCCTTTTGTCTTCCATCTTATGCAAGTACTGATAGTATAGTGGTCAAAGTGTGGGTTTAATGATCTCAAGGTTGTTGGTTCGAATCCAGTCTGATGCTTTATTTTATTAATTTTACATGTTTTGGTTAAAAGTTAAACCCATGAATTTAGCTCATGGTTTCAACTCGGATGATTCATGATTTTGGGAATGTTTGCTGCGTTACGGAAAAGTTGCTCATGATATCATGCAGATTATTCATGGTGTATTTTCATAACATGAAAACACGCTGTGTTCATGAAATCATGAGTCATTTTTCTCATTTCGGAGATCGGATTTTTTCCCGTGTAGAAGTATGATTGGACTTGCCACACAATTATACCAATGCAAAAATAGTAGAATAGTAGCTCTCAATTAATAACTGTGGAAGTGCATCTAGAACACTAAGTTGAGAGCACACAATAAGCTAATATGCGATATGCAATAAGCTTGAAATGCGAAGAAGAAGAAGAAGAAGAAGAAGAAGAAGAAGAAGAAGAAGAAGAAGAAGAGAAGTTCAATGACTTTGACAACTTGTCACACTCACATATCGATTGCCAAACCATACCCTTCGCACCATTTTTTTTTTTGTGAAAATTGATTTATCGGCATCGTCAAGTTCCTGACCATCACGAACTGTGTAGTATTGGTCTCCTGGAAGCGTCTTGTAGTCAAATTTGACGTATGTTTCATCGTCCATGATAACACACGCCAATTTTCCACACAGCAGACTATCATATAGCTTCCGAGCTCTCGGTTTGACGGATGCTTGTTTCTGACTCCGTTTTGCCTTCTTCTGCTTCTTGAACGTTTTCAGTCCGTTGGACGTTACTCTTCAATGCTCTCAATTTTTTGGCCAAATCTCGAGCAGAGGCACTTTTCTTAATGTCGAAAGCTTGGTGATCTTCTGGTTCACTTTTCGGTCTACCGGTCATCATTAGTTAAATGCTATTTTCGGTTTAATAATTTTTCAGCTGCTTCCAAACCCAGTAGAATAATTTCTGTGTGCAATGATTTCATAATTGCAAAAAACATAGTTTAACATAGCGAAGTGAGTGGAAGCAACCCTGTTTATGGGCAAGATTATCCCATGAGCTACCTAGAAAACACACTGCCATCGATATATGACTACTTTACCTAAAGTAAAATCTCCTTACTGTCATCATTCCTGCCTGCATTGTCCTACGAGAAGGTATGGGGTCCTGCCGTGAATGTCGATGCACGTGGGTAGAAACCTGTAATCCACTAACACTCATACACGTAAATGTCACTTCACGGCTTACACACGGAAATTTTGGCGAGCGTTCACACAGGTACAGGTGATGCGTTTGCTTCCGAACGTGTTAACATCGTTACAGATTTAGTTTAACTGTGGCTATCGAGTGGTAAAAAACTAAAGAGACTTTCAAGCGGTGCAATGTGACTTAAGTGCAATGTGACACTTTATTTAGTTTAAAATTTGTCAGTTGAAGATACATTTCGATCGATCAAAATGTTTAATCTTATGGATATGAACATCACTGAGTTGAAATGGGTAAGGCAATTTCCTTCGAAACGGACTACAGCTGTTCAATATTGTTGGATGGAACTACAGTCAACTCTCGTTTAGGCGTTACATTTGAGAAGAAAATCAAATATAGTTCAGAAGTGTCCATTCTGCATAAAGAATTTCCCAGTATTTGACGTTTTGGTGCACTGATGTGATTTGGAATGTTTGGCAATCGTCTGCTCAAGTAATAAGTACCGACGACAAATCCGCTTTTAAATGTTACTCAGGTAGCAGGCAGCCACCCAATCCAGCGGCTGGCAATCGAAGCCCATCATTTCATCTCAGCAATAGATCCCCATATGCTAGCGATCATCAAGAATTCCCATTCACCAAGCTTAAGTGTCATCCAGAGTAGACGCGACATGCGATGCGATGCGAACGAATTCAAAAGATTTCTTCTCTATGCACTGATTGCATCGCGTGTCGCTTCTACTCTGGTGGCCACCTTAGAGCGATCGTACCCTACCGGTTGGTAACCGAAAACGGCATCGTTCACGGCACAGTTGGTTCAGTCACACGGAACGGAATTGATTGCCTGTGTTTTATTTATCTGCCCTTCTCGAATTTTACACGAACTGCTTCCATCGAGATCACTCGCAGATTGATCTCATTTCATGTCTTCGATTTATTCGCAGTTTGTCCTCCGAACGGGGCGTGTTATTTCCACCGTTGACTGTTCAATCCGCCACACGGAAAGGCGCAATAATGTTCCAAAGATTCCATTTCCTACTGGTTTGAGTAGCAGCTGACGAGTGTACCGAATCTAATCAGAAATACTATTTTCTTCTCCTTCTCTCAATTGCAGCTGGATGCCTTTTCCTGTCCCAATATCAAAAAATCCCATCAGAAGACCACCCATGACCTGCTAGAGACCAAATCAATGCTCAATGAGGAGCGCAGCACGTGCCAGTCGCTCAAGCAGCAGCTGCTGGAGAACACCGAACGGGAGGCAGAACTTCAGGAACTGCACCGATGTGAACTTAGTAAAGGTACGTTTCATTCCTATGACTTTTATAAATCCATTTAAACAATCCCATCTCGCATCTTACAGTGGAAGCCTGTCTCAGCGAGCAGCAACGCTCGGCTGCCGATCGGACCACAGCCCTGCAGGCGGAACTGCTCCGAAAGGAGCTGGAAGCGGACGATAAGCTACGATCCGCTACGGAACAATACGAATCCCGTCTGGCCGAGCGGGAAGCGGAGCTCAAGCAGTCGCATATGCGCGAACAGGACCTGCTCCAGCGAATAAACGCCCTCAGCTGCACGGAGAATGAGCTCCGCGAGAAGGTGCACTCCAGCGAGCTGGACTATAGCGAGCGCCTTCAGGCCGCAGCATTGCGCGAACGTGACCTTACCGAACAGCTAAAACATCTCAATCGGCAGATGGCGGAAGTGCGCCGAACAACGGACGCTCGGCAGCAGGAGCTAGAGGAGAAAGTTAGCCTCACACAGGACGAGTGTAACGTGCTGCGGCACCATGGTCGGGCTTCGTTGGAACCATCGTCGCCACAAGAAGACCGAGAGACGTCGCGATATTCTCTGCGTGGAGGATCCACTGTTGCTGCGGAGCTTTCGTTCACCGGGGTTCCGCTGCAGACGAACCGGTCGTCGGGAAATCTCAGCCCGGCACAGGTGCTGCAGGACGAGGTGAACAGCCTGCGGTGCGTGCTGGACCTGAAGCAGCGGGAGATTTCCGATTTGAGAAAGCTGACACAGGAATACGAACGCGATGCGAAGGATCTACCGGGAGCGTTGGTGAAGATCTCCGCTCTGGAGTCGAGGATCGAGGATCTCCAGGTGCAGCTCAAGACCAAAACCGAGGAGGAAAAGTAAGTGGAACACGCCCATTTTGGTTGGTGAACGGTGGGGTAGATTTTAAAGCATCTCCTGTGAAAAAATACGCAAGAAAGCGTACTCACAAAAAGTTCAAAAATTTGACCGAAAGTTCTTTCAAAGTGTTTTTATGTTACATCATGCGCGAAGTTTGCGATTTTCAGAGTTGGTTGGAAATGCTTTCAAAGATGAAGCTTTGGTGTGATAATTTATTAGCTAGAGAATGGTGCTTTTGGAGGGTAGGTAGATAATTCCGTTAGAGTACGGCAGTATGAAAATTGATTAGAAGTTGAAAATGAGCGAAGGGCCATTAATGCGACAGATCAAAGTCAAACGTAACTTCTTTTCAATTTTAATACTGCCTTACTCTAACGGATCTATCTACCTACCATCTTCTAAGATCATTCTCTAGCTAATAAATTATCATACTAAAACTTCATGTTAGATAGCATTTCCAACCAACCCCCAAAAGCTCTTGTTCTAACATTTTTTGTTAATTTCCCCCAGACATTATATGTCTCTAATTCTGACTCAGACGTCATTTAGATCAGAAATGCACATTTTTTTGAAAAATTTCAAAGACGCCAGTTTGAAAATTTTACAATATCCAAAATGGCCGAATCTTAGACAAATTTGAATCTTTGTCAGCTCCGGCAATCGCTGTAATTTGTTTCGAGCGAATGTAGATTGATCCGGTTTGAGAACCGTGCGAGCTCTAAAATAGCATTTTCTAGCTTTACGCACGACGTTACGGAGATGCTGTAACTCAGATGTCCACCATGGATGCTTGAACGAATAAGGTCTACTTCATCTACTTCGTCGACGTGGAACAAGTTCCTCCAGAATGTTGTACAATTTCTCATTAAACATACGTACCGTTTCATCCGTATTTGTTGCACGAAACATTTCAATTCCAATCGACGTTCATGATAGCGTTGTTCTATTCTGGAAAGCTCATTGACGATGTTTGAGTCACTGGCAAGTTGCATGTAGGAGCAGGGCCCCAAAAAGTCACTTTCAATCGAAAATCGCTTTCGAATTGAAAGTCACTCTGTCCTCTCTTCGAACAGATCCCCGTCAACATCAACAGGACCACTTTCGATCAGTTTTCTTGCTGTTTGTTTTGGCTTGACTCGTGTTCATTTCTTCTTTCAATGTCGAATGAACTTACTATTCGCGCAGTTTTTATGACTTTTGTTGATTGTTCACTCGGTTCATTTAAGCGTATGCGCATAGATCTGTGCTCGTGGATCATTGTCGGGTGGTTTGTTTACCCATCAATGTGGGTATTTTTTGAATCGGGGTGACACCTAGAAATCAAAAATTGATATGCGACGCCGTTTTGAAATCCAAAATGGTGGCTTCAATTCAAGAAAAAGTGGGAAATGCTGTCAAATACTTATCAATAAAGATATTTTTGGAATCGGGATGATGTCTAGAGGATGAAAATCGATATCCGACGCCATTTTGAAATCCAATATGGCGGCTTCCGATTTACGAAAAAGTGGAAATACAGTCAAATACACATCAATATTGGTATATTTGTAATCGGTATGAAGTCTACAGATCGAAAATTGATATGCGACGCCATTTAGAAATCCATGATGGCCGCTGCCGATTTCAGATTTAGTGGGAAATTCTGTCAAATACCCATCAATATATGTATTTTTGAAATTGGGATGGCGTCTAGAGGCCGGAAATCAATATCCGACGCCATTTTGAAATCCAATATGGTGGTTTCCTATTTCAGAAAAAAATAGGAAATGCTGATGCCGTCCCATCAATATGGGTATTTTTGGAATCGGGCTGACATCTGGAGATTGGAAATCAATATCCGACCAAGGGGTTGGTCACTCTACACAGAGTGCCAAAATCAAACTGGGGCACATCGGGGTGCAGTCATTGACGTTGTTTGGCACCCATGGTTACAATTTTTATGACCTTCAAAGTTACTGGCAACACTGAACTTTTTCTGCGCCTGCGCAGTGTGCATGTGTCAAAATTTGTTATTGACGTTGCCACTCCTAGCCAAATTATTTTCAAAACAACCGTGAATCTCCACCAAGTCTCGCCATGGATTCTCAAAATCGTTACAACCGTGACGGCAGTCGCATCCACATTTCCTCTCATACGAAGAACAGCTGACAGCGGTATCTTGACCTAACCGAGGTTTCCGGCCATGGCTACACGAACTAGTGATGCAGCTCCCACGGCTGCGGCTGCTTCCAATGCTGCTGCTGGTCCGTCTTTTTTGACGAATTTTAGAGGAGACGGACCAGCAGAAGGAACAGCAGCAGCAGCATTGGAATCAGCCGCAGCCGTGGGAGCTGCATCGCTAATTTGTGTAGCCGTGGTCGACGCTGGAAATCTTGGGCCAGTCACGACAAGCGGTGCTTGAGTTTTAATCGGAAAGTCAACAACCAAACAAAATCTATACCATCCGACCATTCGAACTGCTCGAATACATCCATGGCGGTGGCTGCTACATCAACCATTCCATCGTCCAACATATAATGTTGGAGGACCGTCTTGGCAAAATCTCAAATAGTTCAACAAATTTTTACTCTCGTTCCTTTTTGCACTTCCAACTAACTCAATAAGAAATTATAATTACGAATCATAACATTAACTACCCAGAAAAAGGAAAATCCTTTCTTTTCTCAGAAAATAAGCTTCCGCTCTTTCAAAGCTAACGTGTTTTCGGTGTTTTCGTTGCTCCACGCACCGTTCATCTTCTTGGAGGAGGAGAAGCACAGTTTCATAATGAACGGGAGTTTTGTGCATTTGTGATCATCGCGCTGTGGTTGCACTTCATGATGACGTTCACCGCCAGGGCTACGCTCGGGAACTCGACCAATCCGGAGGAGGAACTTCCCGATTTCAGCGGGAACATTCGCACTTCCGACGGGTGGCAGCCCTTGGTGGTGAGTGCAGTCAGCAGCATATCCTCGGACGGGTGGGTTATTGAAGAAGTGGAGAATGCGATTATTGCTGGCCTGGGAAGCGATTGTTCTTGGAGGCGCTGTAGACCTTGAAGCTGATCGAATTGTCCTGCAGGGTGTACGGGTTGGTGGACTCTGACAAGTAGTTCAGCTTGGAAAATTGGCTGGTCCGTTTCAGGTCAGCGGTGCGTCCTTCATCAGTCCAACGTGTGTTCTGGCCGGTGTTGGTTTCCAGTTTTCCGACGGATGATACTCGGGCGGTGAAAAATTCGGTGCAAATCCATTTCCTCCGCCGACTCCCAGAAGGATTGGTCGACTAATGATTGACGTTCGTTGTGCGGGGTCGGCCTTCCGCCAAAGATGGAAGGATCGTGTAGCAACGGAGCTCGTCCGTTGCCGGCATCCTTGGAGGTGGATGCATCCAGTGTGTAGTCCCAACTGGAGTCCGTGTCGTTTTTGAAAACATTGAAAAACAAAACAAAAATAAAAGCTGTTAAAATACCGGGTTGCCAAACAAGGCATTATTCACAAGCAATCAAAAGTCAGTTCAATGACTTCTTGACACTTCCGGTACAACTGTGGCACACTGAGGTACACTGAGAAAAAAAGTTGGCGCAAAACAAGTGTGTAGAGTGACCACCCCTTGTATCCGACGCCATTTTGTAATCCATAATGGCGGCTTCCGGTTTGTGAAAAGTTGTAAATTCTATCAAATACTCATACAAATGGTTTTTTAGAATCAGGGTAACGTCTAGAAGCCAGACGTCGATATCCGACGCCATTTTGTAATCCAAGACGCCCCTTCCGATTTGCGGAGAAGTGTAAAATATTCTAAAATATGGTTATTTTCAGAATGGGGATGAGGCGTTGATGCCGAAAATTGATGTCACGCCGTCTTTAAAACCAAGATGGCGGCCATCAGGTTTCAGAAAATCTGTAAAATACTGTCAAATACCGATCAATGTGGGTTCTTTTTAAATCGGGCTGACATCTAGAAGCCGAAAATCAATGTCTTCCGATTTCAGAAGAAGTGTCAAATAGCCTACAAATGGCATCGAATATCGGCATCTACGTGTTGTCCCTGTTCCGAAAATAACCATATTGTAGGGGATTTGACACTTTTTTCTGAAACCCCATGGCCGCCATTTTGGATTCGAAAATAACGTCGAATATCGATTTTCGGCACCTTCACATCGTCCCCGCTTCGAAAATACCCATATTGTACACACTTAGAAAAATTCATGTAAATTTAGATGCTCTGAGACTGACATAGGGTAGAGAACTACTTCGGCCTAATCGCCCATTTTGGGCCTATCGAGCTGAAAACTTCAAATAAATCCATGATTTACGATACTTTTGTTAATAATCTACGGAACGAAGTAAGTGAGAACGCGTGATACAAAGATTTGCACCCATTATTCTTAAAAAACAAAAGAAACGCTCCGGCCGAGTTTGGCGTCAAGAAGCAGTGTTGGACTTTTGACAATATCTCAACGATTGATTTCTCTTTATCAAATCTTACGGTACGTACGGAAAGGTAAATAAATTTGGAACCCATCAGTAATAATAACATTCCGTTCGGTGCTAAATTGCGCTAGATTAAGAAATACTAAGTGCGGGTTGTGCTTAATAGGCCGGAAATGGGGTAGTTAACCCTATACGAGCATCAATTTTGACATAAAATTTAGAGTCGGTGTATAATGAGTTACGCCAAGAGTGAAGCCAAGTCTACCTATTGAACAGTCAAACCGGCTACCTATCGTGCAAAGTAAACAAATATTACGATGCTATGAAAGGTCCGCGAAAGGTATTGCAATAAAATATAAAATATAATCGAAGGAATGCTCATATACACGCAGTGAGCATTAAAATGTCATGGGATACCTTTGGTACTGATCAGTAATTAGAATGTGTACTTATTTTTTGTGAAGATTATTTGACAAAATCACTTATATAATGATTTGCTACAGCCGCTATTTTTTTTTGCTAGAAGTCATTTGAAGTTGATGTATAAGTCTTTTGTTGCCAAGTGAAAAGAAAGAGAATCTTTCGAAAACCGTGATGCGAGTTCAACTGTTTTTCTCTTGGCGTGACTCGTTATACACCGACTCTAATAAAATTGAGTCATAATAGACGCGAAATACAGCTCAATCGAACGTACGTTTCGTCGAGTACCGAACTTTTCAATCTCGGAGCACTTAATTTTATATGAAATGTTTGTTTAGTCTCATCCTTTATGTCAAAGATGGATTTCGTCACGCGTAAAATTAGGTATTTCTAAGTGTGTAGGGTATTTGAGACTTTCCCTGACCTCGATGGCTGCCATCTTCGACTCCAGAATGGCCTCGTTAATTTAATTTTCGTTTAATATAAAATAATATATTCTTACTACATATAATCTGGATGCCATCCCTACCAGTATTGTGCGGATACTATCCGAATACTATCGGATCGTCAGGTCGTGACAAGTCCAATGAGCCCCGAATTGAAGTGAAAGTTTTCGAGTCATTCATTGCGTCCAGTGTTGGAAAAGTTCGCGATATTTCACGAAGTTCACCAAGGGAAAAGTTCGCGAGTCATAGTGAGTTTTCGCGAACTTTTCCATCACTGATTGCGTCAATTGAAATAAGTCTTTGCTTCAAATGAAATGAGCTGAAACACTTGACGAACGAAACAAGTGATAGTCCAGTCATGTTTGAATGGAGGAATGTTCATCGTGACTCGATAACAAGAAACACGATGACTTACACCAAAATGATATTGCTCGAAATGAAGCGGTTCTGCGGAGAGATCATTTTCTTTTCTTGGTTTCGAAAATGCAGAACCCTGTGTAGGAATCGTTCACCTCGATGTGAAGAACAAACGGCTTATGATGACTGTCGATTAGATGAGCTCAACAAGGTTTGGTTCGTTTGCAAACGCCAAGTCAAGTGTATGACCATTCGAATTAAGCAGGCTGTTGAGCTGATGCAAACCGGAGGCAACCATAGATTCAACCAAAGCGATTTCCTGTTCAGTAGAAGCGTTGGACGGAAGCATGCTATTGACATCTTCATCATACGACCATACCAGCTGCGGTAGATTGTAATCTCCAACGATAACAAGCCTATCAGAATCCAAGGCACGTTCACAGAGTGCGTTGAGTACAATTCCGGTGGCGAGTTCGGATGGAGATAGATTCCACACACATAGATCGTCGCCTTGTGGAGTTCTAATCTAATCTAATCTATCACCAACACATCCAGTTCTTGAAAGCATCCTGGAAAATGATATATTTTTCTTGCCCATTTGATATATGTTTCACATCGACGATGCGTCACACATATCAAAACGGCCAGCCTACTGTGCAGCATTTAGGGGGCAAGATGATTCAGAAAACATCGTGCCCGTTTATCGAAGATTTAAACACAATGCTTCAGAATCCAATAAATGGATGAAACGTGGACATCTCGTACCGTACGTTCCGATTTTGGTAATTATATGATTGGTTGGTCGTTGGAAGCAACAAAGCTAGAAAGGTTAAGTGATGCTCCATTTTCTTCTGACGGTTGGGGCATGAGCACTAACTCTTGTCCTAGCCTTTTATGACTTATGGCTATAGCGCCATTACTCGCTTTCTGAATAGAGAAAAGGGAACCGAAAAAGAGAAGGACAAAGGGAAAAGGATTATGTGAAATCTATGAGCATAAACAATATTTTTGATTTGAAATATACAATATAGAAATGCATAACGGCGCGATGGTCGCTACCCAAGTCTTGTCACTATTATCAAGTCATAAAAAGTAACAAGGACTAAAATGTGATCTTTTAATTACTGGAAAATCTTGATTTCCCCGTTTGAAGTTGTCACGACTAAGGTTCGGTGGTAGGTCTTATACCAGTAACGCACCACAAAAAAGGTGATCTCCCAACGTTACTGGTTTGAAAAGATGAAAATTTACAAAATGGAATGAACTCACCAAGTTTAGCCAATTGAACCTGAAGGCTGCCTGACATGTGTTGATGTAGAAGTCCAAATTGTAGACGAAGCTTGACGAATATCAACATGACCTAGTCCGGTTTATGGTAGTTAGGCGGAATGTCTTCCTTCGATTTGAGATAAACAAATGTTCGGATGAATGTAGTCGATTTTTGATGTGCATTGGCAAGCCTTTTCGTGGCCGATAGTCAGGTTCAACGCTTCGACTCAACGAATGATGGAACTAATGATGAGACGCCTCGTGGAGGTTCTACTTAGCTTCGGAACAGCTTCTCAGCGGCAAATAATATGGACCTAGAATGAGGAACTAAAAATTGTCTTCTGGGCATGGATATGGCCAGATCAACAACCGATTATAGATTTAAAAAAAACTCCACGGAAAAAAACAAACGTCAGGTTCGAACACACGCACAGCCTACTATCATAGCTCGTCGCCTTATGGAGTTTAACACAAACAGCGACTTATTACCACAATTTATGAGCTCCTCTGAACTGCAGTTGAACTCCACCACCACGCTGAAGGTTGCTAGAAGTTGCACTGCGATCACAGCGAAATACCGAGTAGTTGGCAGCGAACTCAGAGCTAGCGACCTCAGGACGAAGCCAAATCTCTGTGAGTACTATTACGTCGCCTTCACAGGCAGAAAGTTCCAGAAAGAGCTCGTTAGTTTTAGTGCGGATACCTACCTCTTACATTTTGGTAATACACCGTTAAGTATTGCAGAAAGGTTTCGAATTGTGGGTCCTGTCTCGGATTTTGTTAGAACGGTTGCTTAAAAAAAACCTTTCTGGGAATGCTCCTTTCTTCAAACTCTCTAAACGATATCTCACTGAGCCAAGTGGAATCCAACATAGCTTTCTGCTTCAACTGTATAGGCATCCCTACTTTGTACGACACAAAGTTCAAATATCGCAAATTCCCTTGTAGGAACTAGCTTCACGATTTTCAAATCAGTGGATCCTAGTCGTTGTCGTACTAATTATGCTACACAGTCGTCAAGACAAGAGTTTCGAAGGCTCTATACAGATATAGGGGAAATGGCTCTAATATTGGCCTATGGATCTAAGATTGGCCCCATCGCTAAAAATCTGCTATTTATCAATTTTATCTAGATGAAAGCGTCATTGGGACGGTACTTAAGGATATTTTTGGTCGCTATTGAAAATTTTGTCGATTGCTGAATTTATGCATGGGCTCAAATTAGGGGCACTTAGGCCGACATTACATCCATTACCCCTGTATTAATATTCATGTTTTTGTAATTTGTACTCTAAATTATTTTTTTTAACAAAAATGCCAAATTTTAGCAAAAATGAGAATGATTGCCTATAACAAACACTTGTGGAAAGTTTCATGCAAATCGAAAAACAATACTAAAGTAATTAAACAATTTCTACTATCATCGAAGCCTACAGGAGAATTTGCACTGAAATTGAAAGAACTCTGATACCGGAATCCAGATAAGTCCGGAGAATAGTTACGTTTGATTTCGTTATATCTCGGGATGCAAAATTCCAGATTTCCCGCATCTGAACATAACATCTTGTATAACATATGGTGAAACCAGTTCCATAACATTTCTTCCATCCTTCCACCCTTCCAGGGATCTCCAGCAGAAGCTGAAGCTACTCCAGGACAACCTGAAGCAGGAAACCAAATCCAAGAGCCGCCTGTCCCAGCACAACGAGGAACTCCAGTGGAAGCTGAAGCAGAACTCCGAAAAATTCTCCCACGTGTACGCCGAGCTGTCCAAGAGCTACCACGAGAATTCCAGCTTCATGAACGCAACGCGCCTTAGCTTGGACCAAACGGCGACCAGCACCATCGCCCACTACCAGCTGAACCACAGCCGATCCAGCGGTGGCTCGGAACGGGTATTCGAGATGGACGACCTATCGCCGCCGACTTCCCCCGTCATCAAGGGGGTGGTCGAAAAGAGCGACTCGGTGTCCTGGGTACTGGAAATGGACGACGAACCGCCGGAGATTACGGCCTCTCGGATGGTTCGCCGGGCAGGATCGTTTCGATCTTCGATCGGTACCGGCAGTCAGGATGTCAAGCGACAGCGATGTTTCAACAATCCAATCAACGGGATTCAACAGTCCAGCTCGGTAGGATCGATTCTGAAGCAGCAGGATGTTTCACCGGCCAAGACGATGGGAGGACCACCTGGTACTCCGAGACTGAGATCCAAGTCGGTTAGCATTAAGGCGGCAACCGAACCACCAAAGAAGATTGTCCGCTCGAACTCCGGTGCTTCATCGTCGGCGGTTTCCAAGCCCATCCGGATGGCGGAGATGCCACTCTCGTGGAAGGAACCGCCGCTGTACAGTAGCTCACCGTACGCTCACAAGAGGTTTCTGAACGAACGGCTGGAGAACGGCGGGGCCAGTAAGTCGTTTCGGGAGGGGAAGGATTTATTTCTAGAAGAGACGGAATTTCTAGGGGACATGGGAGGCGAAAGCCCGTTCAGCAGGAGCCGAGTGGGATCGTTCGGGGAGGTTTCCGCGGAGGGAGCTTCAGAGCAACCGGCAGAGTTTTTTCATCGAGACAAGACCCCAAACTTTAAGAAAAGCAAAGAGAACCGTGGTCTAATAACATGTGATACGACAGCGCTGACCGAGTCCGGGGGTGACACGCCAGCGCTCAAGAAACGACGTGAATTCGCACGCAAAAATCTTGCCGGGAAGAGTAGCTCGTTACCAAAGGAAGCGGCCGGAGAGGCGTTGGTATCCGGTTCGAACTCGGACGATGAGGCATCGTCCTCGTCTTGTCTGTCGGATGACCTCTCGTCCGGGGGAAGCAGCACTAGTAGCAGCAGCAACAGCAGTAGCGGTTCTTCCAGCACTGGAGGAGCGTCGTCTCCCTCCCGATCGTCGGGCGATGGGAGGGAGGCTCTGGTAGAACTGGAAGAAAGCGAGCAAGTGTGCGGTGCTGCCAGTGGTTCCGGAGGCGATCGACGGCGGCGACGTTCGTCCACCATTTCCATCGAGGATGCACTGATGCAGAAAATCGTAGCTAGTCTGAACGGAACCATTGCCAACGAGGGCAACGAGACGCCCATGGAGGTCAGCTGGTCCGAGGACGGGGATCCGACCGAGTCGATCGTATGACAAGACGATGATAGCTTTTAAATGTTACGGAAGAGGAAAGATGAAAACTCGTTTCTGTTGAGTCCAAATGCTGCTGACGACTTCAATGGCTCGAAAATCGGCGAAGATCCTGATTTTTTACGATAGGTTCTGTTTTTTTTTTACATAGTTAGTCAGGTTATTCAGTTGTTAAATGTATAATTTGCTGTATTTATATGTGAAAGTCAGTAAAGGAATGGTTTGGGTCGAGCAGAGGGAGAGAAGGATTTGAGTTTCGAATGAGAATGAAAGTTTGGTTCTTTGTTTTTTTTTCAGTTTGTTCATTTTTAACGAGTATTTGTTCGATGGCATGTTTGAGTTTGTGTTTAAAATCCAACTAATGGAAGCAGCAGATAATAATCAATACTTGAAACAGTCAGTCACAGAGAGAAAGAGAAAGAGAAAAGAAGAAGGTTTAGTAATTTGGTGTCCTTGTAACTATTAGTCGATATAAGACAGAGGAGAAAGAAGGAAGGATGTGTTATTAGAAGAGTAAGTAATTTTGGTCGACCTTCTGATCGGAAAGTCGGCGTTCGAAAATAATACAAGAAATGCAAGAACTCGCGAAAGCGAAGCAGAAATTGTCCTTTGGCAGAAGAAATATTTAATTGTTACTAGACTTATAAGCAAGAGAGATTTAATGCAGAATGTAAAAACTCGTCGAAAATAATAAAAATCAAAAAGCTTCTAGCAATTTGACCCCATTTGTGTATAAAACTATAATAATCTTTAAGACAAGCAACCGAGAGATGATTTGTGAAGAAGGCACCGCGGAAAATTTTGGACCAGACATTGATCCCTTCGATTACGAATGATTGAAAACGAAAAAAAAAACAAAACAGAATTGGTGCTCATTTGGAAATTGCGCATTCGCTGCGGCATTCAAAGTGCTGTCGCCGAACAGTTTGTCACATATTGTGTAGTAGTTTGTAGTGGAAGTTTACTAAAAAAATAAAATACACAATAAAGGATTATGCTTAACCCAATTTGGAATCTTTGGATGAGGAATAATCAAACTACATTTTTAATTAGAGCAGGAGTCGTTCGAGACGAGCTAACTCTGTAGGTACGTGAGACTATATTGGAACCAATTTGTAGCGTTTTATCTAACTACCAGAAATACTTTTCCATTTACATTACACAGCAGAGAGAATGTTTATTTTTTGTTTCAACCTTATTCTCAGATTGCTATCAATGTTCAAAATAATACCGAGTTGATGACTTAATGCAACTGCCTTGCAATGGCTTTAATCATTTTTTTTTACCACCAGCAAAGAGGCAGTGAGAATGGCAACTCGTTGCAAATTTTGTTCTTCAGTTCGATGAGAGACGGAACTTGTGAAAATGAAAGATGGAAACTAGCAAAGAGCAGGTTGAAGGGAGAAATGATTTGTTTATTTACAAAAAAAAAACTAGTAGATCTAAAAATACAGCAGCAGCAGCGGCTCTGATGTACGATATTATCGCATTGAAAATGATGAAGAGAAGCTGAACGTAATACAGAGATACACACATACACATTCAACTAGCAGTTTATGCAAACAGAAATGAAATTTAAGAGAAATAATTGAAAACAGTGACACACAATAAACTGAAAATATGGACATATTAAGTTTGATGGGCGTCTATTAATTGCATCCGAAATACCTTATCTACATGCTTGGGATACACAGTTTTCAACACCAACTGCTCATTTGTTAACAGCTTTTCACTCAGATGTTGAAATTAGGTTTTCTTTGAAGGAATTCATAGAGTAGGATCATAGTTTACTGTAGACATGCCAAGAGTAGTTAAATCTTAACTTTTGAATCAACACGATTGAATTTATAAACTGAAAGCACGGGATATGTAGCAAGCATTTCTCACTTCATTTTGGCAACGCAAAAACAAATACAGCTGATTACTAGAACTGAAACCTACTATTTTTTACGTATCTATAGCAAGCTTAAACTCTATTCTATTGTTCAAAAAGAAGTGTATTTCGTCTACTGTGGGCAAAGTTATTAGCAAATGAGCAGCACGTGACCAAAAATGTGTATGCCAAGCATGCTTATCTACGAAGTGAAACTTAAATTTTAACGTTCATTTCATTTCGTTTTTCATCGTCAATGTTACCTATCTTCGTTTTCTGATAAACTTCCCGGATTTGCTAATGCAACGGTCTTTAAAATGTAGTATGGGCGTACCACGTGTCGCTTTGAAATATTTCAAGCTTGCACTGAAAGTACACACGGACGATGAGCTGAACTCAAAATTGAGTTGAATTCAACTCAGTTTTGAAAAAAGTGAATTTGCTGTGTGAGTAACATTTTCCGAGCTTTTCCAGGGAAAACTTCCCGAATATGAGGAAAATCGGCGAAAATTTTACTCAGTCTAGGAGTATATCTCTCTCAGTTTTCCTCATAATCGAAAAGATTTTCCTGGAAAATCGATGAAAATTTTACTCAGTCCTTGAAATTTTCATTATTATACTCCTAGACTGATCAATATTTTCGTCGATTTTCCTCATATTCCAGCAGTAGATTTTGATGAAAAGCGAGAAACATTTTATTCAGTCTATGAGTAGCCTACGTGTTTGTGATTTTGAGTGAAAAACCACTGAATTTTGAGTTGATCACATCGGCCGTGAAGGTATATTGTCTCGGCTTTGACTTGTGACAGCACGGCAGATGAATCTAAACCATATTTGAGTATTGTTCACTCAAATTTGCAAACACGTAGGTCCCTCATAGATCATGAGGTCATGATGAGATCTACTCGTAGGAAACCTAGGTCGTAAGTCGTAGGATTGATTCGTAAGTCATAGTGAGTAAGTCGTAGGAAAAATGTACCCCTCTTATATCTAGCTGTGTTTCCGGTTCTGCGATCTCCACACTAGCCACTTCATGTCCATGCATCCGTCCTGCCAACTACCAGCAGGTTTATGCCGCCACCTGCTCTTCCTCGGATCCGGGACACCCTAAAACAGGCACTGAGGAAGCTTCCGAACCTCCCGACCCAGTCGCGCTTGCTGCAGACATCCGCCATCGTCATCGTCCCGGTCCTGTGGTCGGTGATGGTATCGGGGGCTTCCGGCCTGCAACCTCAGGCGAGTATGTTAGCGATTCCGAGCTTTCGGTACCTGATGTCCTTTCGATTTCTAGATCCCGTGATTGCTCCTCGAATGGTCTCCGGATCTACTACAAAAACGTGCGTGGGCTGAGGACTAAAATCGACTCGTTTTTCCTGGCTGTTGCGGAGGCCGAATATGATTTGATTGTGCTGACGGAAACGTGGCTGGACGACCGAATTTACTCATCGCAACTTTTCGGGTCACTCTATTCCGTCTTCAGAACTGACCGGTCTGCCCTAAACAGTCAAAAATCGCGCGGTGGCGGAGTCCTGATTGCAGTATCTACTAGACTAGCCAGCTACGTAAGTACGTCACCCATTTCCAGTCAACTGGAACAGCTGTGGATTGTCGTAGAACTTCCACAAAGCATGCTTAGTGTAGGCGCAATCTACCTGCCTCCCGACCGCAAAAACGACTGCACGATCATCCGTGAGCATGTGGAATCGTTAGGATCAATTTCGTCACAATTAAGTCCCTGCTCTCCCGCTTTCGTATTTGGTGACTACAATCAAGCTGGTCTGCAGTGGCGCTTTACAGACAGTGGCACACCATTAATTGATCCACTGCTTTCGCATATGCCGGTTGCTTGCTGTGCTCTTTTGGACGGTTTTAACTTTTACGGCTTCACACAAGTGAATACTTTTCCGAACCGAAATGGACGTTTGCTAGATCTTGTCCTGGCAAATGATTCCGCACTACCGGGCACTTCTGTTTCCTTGCCGGTCGAGCCACTGATTGATCTAGATGCCGATCATCCCGCTCTCGTCGTGTCATTTAGTTTACCTGCGTCGATTCTTTTTACGCCGTCATCTGAGTGCTACTCTTTGGAATTTCGCCGGGCCGATTATGTTGCATTGAACAATGCGCTTGCGGAAATTGATTGGCAATTTATCGAAACTGCCGCTAGCGTGAATGATGCAGTGGATTTTTTCAGTGCTGCACTTCAAGATGCTATTTTCCGCATTGTCCCAGCTCGACGACCTCCGCTAAAGCCTGCATGGTCTAACCCACGCCTACGCGTGCTAAAACGTCAACGCTCTGCCGCCCTCCGAAAGTATTGTAACTCTCGCTCGCCGTACTACAAACGACTGTTCAATTTTGCGAGTCGTAGTTTTCGAAATTACAATCGTTTTCTCTATAATCGACACGTGAGACGCACGGAAGCGAACCTTCGCACGAATCCGAAAAGTTTTTGGTCGTTTGTCAACTCAAAACGGAAGGAATCCGGGTTGCCTTGTTCCATGTTTCTCGGGAATGACTCGGCTAATAGTGAAAGAGAAAAATGCGACTTGTTTGCTCGTCATTTCAAGCAAGTGTTCAACGATTTCTCCGCTTCGCCAACACAAGTGCTGGATGTTGCTGTTGGGATGCCACGTGATGTGTTTAGCCGCAACACGCAAATTGAAGCTCTCGTTCGTCTCCGGACCTGACGGCATTCCGTCATCAGTTCTAAAACGTTGTGTAGCCAATCTCTGCCTTCCACTTGCGAGGCTATTCAATCTCTCGGCACAGCAATGTGAGTTCCCCTACCGCTGGAAACTTTCTTATCTGTTCCCAGTGCACAAAAAAGGAGATAAACGGAATGTCATAAATTATCGTGGAATCACCTCCCTGTGTGCCTGCTCAAAACTGTTCGAGATTATCATAAATGGTGCTCTGTTCGCACGCTGCAAAAATTATATCGATACAGAACAACACGGTTTCTACCCGAAGCGCTCCGTGTCCACGAACCTGGTGCAGTTCACTTCTAACTGTCTGCGATGCATGGATTCAGGATGGCAAGTCGATACTGCGCATATGGATCTAAAAGCTGCATTTGACACGGTGGACCATAATATCTTGCTGGCCAAGCTGGAGATACTTGGCATCTCGTCAACTGCTGTGGATTTGTTCAGATCTTACTTGGTGAATCGCTATGTACATGTCAAGATTGGCGCGTCGGAATCGGAAGTTTTCTCAAACAACTCGGGCGTCCCGCAAGGCAGTAACCTAGGACCGCTACTATTTTCGATCTTTTTAAACGATGTCGCCTTGCTGATACCATCAGGATGCCGCGTTTTCTATGCAGACGATACGAAAATCTACAAAATTATTAAAAGCCTCTCGGACTGCTGGGATCTCCAGAATATGTTAGGTATTTTTTCTGACTGGTGCTCAAGAAATTTGATGAGTCTGAGCATAGAAAAATGTAACATTATTTCCTATCACCGAAAAATCGAACCAATCATGTTTGACTATGTTCTCTACGGAAGCTGTCTTGCCGAGCACATAAAGGATCTCGGCGTTACCTTGGACTGTAGACTCACTTTCAGAATCCACTACAATGACATCATCTCCAGAGCTAATCGTCAATTGGGCTTTATTTTCAAAATTGCCGACGAGTTTCGTGACCCGCTATGTCTCAGGTCACTTTACTGCTCGCTTGTGCGATTCTTATTGGAGTCAAGTTCAGTTGTTTGGTGCCCTTTCCATGCTAGCTGGATCACTAGAATTGAATCCGTTCAACGCAAGTTTGTGAGATATGCTCTTCGTTTCCTCAACTGGCGTGACCCAACGAACTTGCCACCGTACGAGGAGCGTTGCCGTCTCCTGGGAATCGAGCCATTAGAGGTGAGACGGACGGTCGCTCAAGCTATGTTCGCTGAAAAGCTGCTTACAGGTGACATTGACTGCCCAACACTGCTGTCAAAGCTAAATATGTATGTCCCTGAGAACCGGAGCCGGAATTATACACAACACGAGCCAATTCGAGCAATCAGCCGGCAAATCAACAACTTTTTTTATGTGTTCGACTTCAATGTATCAGCTGACGTGTTTCGTCATCGACTACTTGGCCTTTTCCGTACCGTTGACCGTAACTATTTAGTTTAAGTTTTATTCATTTAGACAGTAATTGTCAGTTGAATTTTTCAATAAACAATAAAAAAACAATATCTCAGCTGTTAGTTGATATGATGATGAAAAATTACTGGCATACGTTGCACTTTAAACGTACTATGTGAATGGAATCAAAGATCTGTTTAATGAATGACAGGTTTGTCAGAAAACCACGCAAGACAAGTTATTTCATGAAACAGCTGGTATATATGAACACTACCAAAATTAACGATTTAACTGGTGCAAGTTATTGTTTACATCCTTTTTCTATCGGCTCGATAGCTCAAAATGTTGTTTATTAGAAAACAAGTAGTTATTTGCAACAATACTATTTTAGTCCCAATATTTCAAAGGGGCGTAATTCTTTGTAAAGAATTGTTTTGGCCGTCGATTGCTCTCAAATAAAAGCCCACCAATCCAAATTAACAATGCTAGCTGGTTGAGAAAACATTCATCTACCTGTCGGTGTGATTAACTTTCATGAGTGAGCTCTTATTCGTAAAAAATCGACGGCTAAAGTCATTGTTCACAAATGTAATTACGTCCATTTGAATTGATGGCACTGATTTGTTATTCTAATGGCGGTAAGCTCCAACTTGGATTAACTTTTAATTCCGTCCCTG